ATGTCCCGCCCCCTTTCCTAGAGATGCTGACAGAACCAATCTGTTGTGCCTGTAAATTCTTAAAAACAACTCTTAAGACTAAAGTCTGTACTAAAAGTATTTTTGCATTTACAAACATCCAACATACAAATTAAAAAAATATATATACACATATACATACAGGTAGACATAAAAGGATCAATAAAAAGATTACCTCAAAATATCAATTAGGAAACGTTTAAAAATATGAGACATGCCCAAAGGGCAGAGAAATGGATTGTGTAAACTCCTTTAACTCTGGAATGTCATTAAATTATTAAACAAGGGCTCCACTTGTCACAGCCCCCTCCTCTGAGTTACTTTCAAGCAATTATTAAAATAATCAATTCAAAGTCTTGGAAGTAGAATTTGTTCTCAGACTGAATGGAGTGAGACTATCTCAGGTATACTTCACCCACACCTGGATTATCTTCCATTATTTCTTCTAGGATCTTGGGGATTACCTCCAGCTCCCTCAATTTCACAAATGGACAAACTGAACTGAGTTGTGTTAAGCACCACAGAGTTGGAACTAACTCATGGGTTACCCCAAAGCAGGTTTTCACAGGCAGCAAACCACATGGGAAGACTGTCTTTCCTTGCAGAGGAACTGATGGGTTCTAATCAGTTGGCAGCACAACTCCTTACCACTAAGCCACCAGAGCTCGGAAAGGCTAGGTGAAATGTCTAGGGTCACCTAGCAAAATAGGGAAAGGGATAGAGTGGGTAGGATATGGATCTCAATTCTGGGTACTGGTTGCTACATGGTATTTTAAAACTTCACATTTTTGCTCTTTTAGATCCACAGGAACGTTTAGAACTTTTGGAATCAGCATATCTAACACTTCTTAAGTTATTAAAGAGGATCTCAAAGACATTTATGACATATTTCTTTGAAATATTTTGACATGCTTTACCTTTGCTCTTACCACAAGTCTTAAAATAGAGAGAGCACTGAGATTTCATTCCTTTCCCTGGTCACAATGTTTCCTCTATTCAGGCCCTTGACTAGTACTGGAGGGGTGTGTCTGATATCCCCACTCAACTTGCTTGAGAGCTTGAGGAGGGATATGAGAATCCACATCTTAGAATGGAAGAGGCCAAATATGGCATCTGGGACTGCCAAAGAACGATTTCTCAAACCCTCTCTGGATGCCCCTGCTCCTTTGTGCAAACTTCGTTCCTGTGTGTCCCCCTCCTTGGCCTTCTAAAAGTCCTCCCTCCTTTCCTCTTAATCTGCCTCTTTGCTGCTCTCTTCTAGAGGCTGCTGGAACACACAGCGCAGGGTTCTACTTACTGAATACCACTGGCTGCTCCTGCTGTGAAACCTACAGAGGTGTTTTATTTTTCCCTTTTGCTCCCCATTCCCACTCCAGCCCAATTTAGAGACTTCCTTGAACTCACACCCACAAAGCACAGGAGACCTTGTTCTTAACTCTTCACCATCACATTTTAAGTTCTTGGCAGTAAAATGAAGTGGCAGAGAATTTTTCCTTCAGATTGTACCACCTTGAACACATCAACAGTACACTGAATGTGATCATGTGTCCCACACAAATCTGCACAGACTAGTCCACAGGAAAGCACTGGATCGATTCGACAGTTTTCTGTTCCTTTCCTTGGAGAATACTCTGTGGACCACAAATGGGCAAGGAAGGGTGAGGAGGAAGGACTCAGTAACAGCTTCATGCCAGGTTCAGTTAAACAGCTTTTGAATCATCTCATTATGTAACCATCCCCAAGGTCAACGTCCGACTCCGAGGTGTTGCTTTTCTCGGAAGGTGTGTCTTCGGACCACCAGCATTGTCCTGAGGAGCTGGCGTCAGGTGGCAGCGTCCCCGGCTCAGTGAAAAGGAGACAATCCTGGTCACTGTCCTCCTCGAGATCGACCGTCTCTTCTGGACTGTCTGTGTCACCATCATCATCGAGAACCCTCATAAACACAGAGTTTAAATCTACATTGAAGGCTACTCTGTCCCCAGACCCCTCGGAGATGCTGTCCTCCTTGGGGATGGGGTCCTGGGACACACTCTCTCTCCCTTTGTAGGCTTCACTCACATATTCCGACTGCCCAGGGCTGGGTCCTAACTCCAACGAGGCCTCAGCCTCAACCTCCAGCAGGTCTGGGTTGTCCAGCTCTGGATCTGAGTCTAGGGACCCTTCAACAGTGGAAGAGTTCGTGGAGGCCTGAAGCAGGGGCTTGGCGATCAGTCCGCGCGTGGTGTAGCCACCCGGGCACATCCTCAGGGCTGCTTCGTCCTCGCTGTCACTGTCATCACCGTAGCTGTAGTTCCACACTTTCTTCTTTCGTTTGATACAAATGACCTCCACGGTGTCCACTGCTTCCGACCGCTGTGGCTCAAGAATTATGCAGGCTGGCCACTTGTAAAAATTCTTAAAGACAAACAAACAAAAAAGCCTCTGTCAATTCTGAGTTTGGGTTCTTCAGCTTTTATACCATAAAACTCAATAAGCTTCACTGCATGATGGTGATGGGAGGGCCAACAGTCTATAACAGTGAACAGAAGACAATGAAAACATGGCAGAACTGATGTATGTGAATTATGGTGTTGGTCAAGAATGTCAGCTATAATTGGGGATTGCCAGAAGAACAAACCACATTTGTGCCACCCAAGCAGATATATGCACAGCCATGTTTATCGCAGCTTTTTTCACAATAGCAGAGTTGGAAACAACCCAAGTGCTCATCAACAAATGAATGGACAGAGAAGCTGTGGCATATTTACACAATGGAATACTATGCTGCATTGAAAAACAAGGAACTCATGAAATATTATAAAAAATGGGTGACTCTGGATGACATTATGCTGCATGAAATATCTCAGTCACGAAAGGACAAATACTGCATAGGGTCACTGTTGTAAAGCAGGACTGACATCAGGGTAAAGGAAGACAGAGAAGGAGGGGAGGAATGATGTATACTGCACTGAAACAGATGACAGAGAGGACTGTTTAAAAAGGATATATGATTAGGTTTTATTGTCATTACAGGAGTCCAGAATAAAGGGTGCACAGTGGAGGGAACTTGGGAGGAGGGATTGCATAACAATGAAAGAGTTTTTCCTTTTATTTTTCAAGGAGAAGAGTGAATTGAAGGGGTAGGGGTGGGCAGGGAGAAAAGTGCAACAATGAATTACTGGAAACCCTAAGGCTCTGTAAACTTTCATTAAAATTAATAATAAAAAATATAAAAAGGAAAAAAAAATTAGGTTGCTCCTTGAAGCTCTGTCTCACATACTTTGGGCATGTGGCCAGAAGGGTCCAGTCCTTGGAGAAGGACATCATGCTTGGAAGGATGGTGGGTCAGCAAAGAAGACGACAACCCTGGATGAGATGGACTGGCACAATGACAACAATGAAGGTAGATGTGTCAGAGACAGTGAGATTGGCTCAAGATAGAGCAGGGTTCAGAGTTCTTATCATAGGATCACCAAGAGTCATGGATGACTTGATGGCACATAACAACAACAACAACAACAACAACAACAACAACAACAAAGCAGTATGACTGGTGTTGAGATGAGTACAAAGAGGTACAGAACGTGGGGGCATGTCTGACCTCATGGGAAATTAGTTTTGTGCTGTGAATGCTGTTAACGGGGGCAATTCCCCTTTGTGAAGTTGGTAAAGGTAAGATGTGGCTGCCCCCTTGTTCTTTTTACACAGGACAAAGCAGTTCTTTGCCAGTTATATACTGGGATGCTGCAAGTGAGAGTCAGCTCAAAAACACTTAGCAGCAACGGTAAAGAAACCACGTCAAGACACAATCCAGTGAGCTGTTTCCAACTCATGCCAACCACAAGTGTTGCAGAGTAGAATTCTGCTCACAGGCCTTCTGAGGCTGTCACATTTCAGAAGCAGATTTCCAGGCCTTTCTTCCAAGGTGCCTTGGGGAGAATTGCTCCACTTTTCCACTTTTTGGTTAGCAGTTGAGTGGTTAACTGTTTGGACCTCCCAGGGACTCGTAACAGTAGATAGTGTTCACTGTTTGCCAGGCACTGTTCTTAAAAGAAAACTCAAACTCATTGTCTTCAAGATGGAACCAAAACACAGCTGAACCTTTAGTGGATTTTCAAAGGCTGTAAATCACACAGGAGGAGACGGTCCATTTTTCAACTGGTGGATTTAAACTGCCTGCCTTTGAGCTGGCAACATAACTCCTTACTCACTAGACCACTAGAGCTCCCTAAGCACTATTATTTGTTTTCTAGAAAGAGTATAAATAATTTTATCCTCAAAAGCACTCTACAAAGTGGGCTTAGTCTTCTATTCCTGTCCTATAGATGAGGAAATAAGGCACAGAGAAGTTAAAAGTTTGCCTGGGATCCATGAACACTATGTGGTAGCACTGGATAATAACCAGGCAGGCTGCCTACAAGAGCATGTGATCCTGATCTCTTCTCCTGATCTCTTCTCCTCTGTCTTCTGGCACCTCAAGGAAATAGCTCAATACAAGCTAGAGTTTATTCAACTGTGCACTGGGAAGACATACTTAAAGGGTGTCAAAGAACAAGTCACACTTTTTCCAAGAAGATAGCACCGAAAGCAAAGAAGGAAGCTCTGTCCCTCTCAACACTGAAGCCAAGGATTTAACTGAAGCAAAGGATTTAAAGGTCAAGAAGGCAGTCCTGAAGGGCACCCACAACCAAAGAAAAAAAGAAGATCTGCACGTCACCCATCTTCTGGTGACCTAAGACACCAAGACTCTGAAGGCAGCCCAAATACCCCAGAAGAGCACCCCAAGGAGAAACAAACTTGACCACTACGCCATCATCAAGTTTCCCCTGGCCACTGAGTCAGCCATGAAGAGTCAGCTATGAACACACTTGTGTTCACTGTGTATGCCAAGGAAAACAAGCACCAAATCAAACAAGCTGTAAAGAAGCTCTGTGACAATGATGTGGCCGAGGTCAATACCTTGATTAGGCCTGATGGAGAGAAGAAGGCCAGTGTTCAACTTGCTCCTGACTATGATGCTTTGGAAGTTGCCAATAAAATTGGGATCATCTAAACTGAGTCCAGCTGGCTAATTTTAAATATACATTTTTCTCATGCACAGAAAAAAAATCCCCTACAAAGCAAGTCACAATGGGGCAAAGGGTAAGGTGGATAGTCACCAGCTTTCTGGAATAGCCATTGGAACCTTCCTGTGTAATACTACTAGGTCTGTATCAACCTCACCTAGGTTAACCTTCTGCACACCTGCTCTTCTCATTCCATACAGGCTCAGCCTCAGGAAGATACTTCCAGAGAGTATCTGGTAGATTGGAACTGCATCCCTTTGTGTGGGACACAATTTTCTTATTCCTAAGCCACCAGAGCTCCCTTCTAAAAGTCTAGACTACATTATGGATGGTGAAGAGATTGAGATAGTTAACAGTTTTAGTTTACTTGGCTCCATAGTCAACACTCTTGGTACCAGCAGCCAGCAAATCAAGAGACGAATTGCATTGGGAAAGTCAGCTATAGGGACCTCTCCAGAGTACTGAAGAGCAACAACGTCGGGCTGGAGACTAAGGTATGTCTGATCCAGGCCATAGTCTTTGCAATTGTGTGCTATGTGTCGAAGAGCTGGGCAGTGAATAGGGATGACAGAAAGAGAATTGATGCTTTTGAGCATTGGTGCTGGAGAAGAACATACCATGGACGGCTAGGAGAACAAACAAGTTTGTCCAGGAGAAGGTGAAACCAGGCTGCTCCTTGGAGGCAAGGATTCTGAAGCTTCGTCTGACATATTTTGGGCATGTTGCAAGGAGGGACCTCCTTGGAGAGGGACATCATGTTTGGGAGGGTGGAGGGACAGTACAAGAAAGGAAGCCCCTTGGTGAGATGGATCAATCCAGTGATTGGGGTAATGGGAATAGGCGTGTCAGAGACAGTGAGGTTGGCACAGGATAGAGCAGGGTTTAGGGCTCTTGTACATAGGGGTCGCTATGAGTTGCAAGCGACTTGAAGGCATATAACAACAACAACTAATAATTAGCAACTATATATTAATACTAAACTTAAAAGATCAAGAAAATAAATGCAATAATTGGAAAAATGAATAAAGTCAGATAAAGCTAAACAGTTGCATTCATTATTGTTAGCTGTTGCTGAGTTGGCTCTGATTCACAGAGACCCTACGTAAAACAGTCCGATCCTATGTCATCCTCACAATAATTCTTGTAGTTACTGTCAGTCCATCTCCTTAAAAGTCTTCAAATTTTTCTCTGACCCTCTATGTTTCCAAGCATGATGTCCTTCTCCAGGAAGTGGCCCCTCTTGACAACACACCCAAAGTATGTGACACAAAGTCTCATCATTCTTGCTTTCAAGAAGCACTTCTGCTAAGATAAAGTTGTTTGTTCTTTCTAGCACCTGTAGTATACTCAGTATTCTTTGTCAATACCACAATTCAAAGGCATTAAGTAGATGTACTAGCAGACTACAAAATAACAAGCATAATCAAGAAAATACGGATTTGAGGTCTAATAAAGGAAAAGATTAAGTAAACACATTGATAAAATCAGAAATTGCAAAGGAGAAGCAGTGGCACATGAGAAAGGATTTGATAAGTTAATAAATTTAACAATTAAATAAATGAGCACTTAAAAATCTCAAAATGTAAGGAAGGATCCAATAATAAGCAATGGGTCCCACTAAGGACCCAAGTAAGCAGCTCAGTAGGTGAGAATGGAAGAAGAAATCATAAAGAGGCACTTGGCCTTGATGGATGAACTGGAGAAGGTGAATAAGCATTCTTTTTTTTTTTAAATTTTATTATTATTTTTGTATGTGTGTGAGTGTACCGTCAAATCAGATCTGGCTGGTACAGGAGGAGATCGTCCCTCCTTCCGCGGCAGAGCATCTGGTGGATTTGAACGGTGCACCTCTGGGATTGTAGTTGCAGCTCCTTGCCACTAGGCCACCAGAGCTCCCTGTGAATAAGCATTCTAACAACCAAACAATACATTATGTCAAAATGCAAACTGAAGGGGTGGATTGGCCACTTACTTAATGAAGTATCATCAGAACAAAATTTAGGCAATATCTCTCATTAGCATACATGTAAAGTCCTAAATAAGATTTTAGAAAAAGTGCTATAAAACTACTATTTCTAGGATTTGCATACTTTGAAAAATGCAAAAAAAAAAAGCAAGGTAAATACAGGCAATGAACACGAAAGATACGTCTCTAATAATTATCTTAATAGATGTTTCTATTGGGTTAGTCTTATTTTTCTTATTGACTCATGGTAATTCTTTAAAAAGTTTAGATACCAATTGTTGGTGAATTATTTTTTACATATCTTTTCTCCAGTTTGTAGGCTATCATTTTACTTTATGATATTTGATGGAAAGAACTGTAATGTAAAAAGCCTCTGTTTTTATAGTTTATAGCTTTTGTCTTGTATATTTGGAAAAAAAGTTGTCCTTATTCAAATGTTGTTAAGTGCTGTCAAGTTCATGACTGATAGCAAGTCTATGAACAACAGACTGAAACCTTGCCCTATCCTGAGCCATCCTCACAGTCTCCATTTGCTCAATTCCATTGTTGCCATCACTGTTTCTATCCAGATTTGGAATGCCTTACAACCTGAGCAGCTAATTTTTTTTTGGTTTGTTTTTCATTCTACTGAGCAGTATTCCAATGTGGTTCAGAGTTTCCCAGGATCTGTTATTTCAGAAGTTAATGATCATTCCTGCTTCTTAGTCTGGAAGCTCCACTGAAACCTGTTCACTAGGGGTGAGCCTGTTGGTACCTGAAATTGGTGGCACAGCTTCCAGCATTACAGCAATATACAAGGCACCACACTATGGTAAATTTGATAGATGAATGGTGGCCAAGGTGTCTAATAGGGAGAAGACAGAATCTTCTATATTGCCTTCTAAACTTTCACAGTGTGAGGTAGGAATCCAATTTCATTTCCTACTATATTGATGACATTCATTGATTAAACCCTCTACTCTCTGCCAATCTATAATATCCATTCTCCTATAAATCAAGTTTGTTTTCATATAGGTGGTCTGTTTCTGGGCTCCCTATTTGATTACTCATAGCCATTCATAGTGATCTTCCAGATTAGAACAGAGTTGCCCCACATTTTCCAAGGTTGCCAATCTTTACAGAAGCATACAGTCACATCTTTCTCCTATGGTGTAGCTGGTGAATTTGAACCACCAAACTTTTGGTTACCAGCTGACCCCTTAACCATTGCTCTACCAGGGTTCCTCTTCATTTAACTAGGCCTTTGTTAATGTCTTTCAAAAGAGTTTGATAATTCTCCACAAATGGCTTATATATCTGTTATTTAGTCCTTAGCTATTTTTAGAATATTTTTTGTTGCTATTATCTTTTAAAAAATTGTATTATTCTATTTATGTAAGATTAAAAATCAGGTTAAATGAATCTATCTTGTTAGAAATCAGGATGCTCTGATGGCATAGTCACTGCTAACCCAAAGGCAACATTATTCTGGCAGGATGAACCCACCAATGGCCCCAAGAGAGAAAGATGAGCAATCTCTTGTGTGATTTATAGTCTCCGAAACCCAACAGGAAGTCAGCTAGGAGTCGGCTCAGACTCAATATTAGTGAGTTGATTTGCCTTTGGAGAGGGCAGTAACCAGAAAATGGAAGGAAAGGGGCATCTAGGTTGTAGATAATATTTTATTTCTTCATCTGCGTATGAGTTACATGGATGTGTTCAGTTTGTGAACTGTGCACTATGTGAACTATGATCTGTGCATTTCTTGGATGTTGAAAAATCAACTTCACATTTATTTTCTGATTGCTGTGAGTATATTAAAATACACATATTTTTTAATTGCTTTTGTATTTAACACATTTGCTGAACTTTCTTTTTAATCCTAATATTTTACGTGAATCTGCGGTGTAATGGGCTTATTGTTTAAAATGGCTTTCCCAGCCCATTACCCTTGACTTTGCCACATGGTTTGGTGGGAACATGCAAATAGGATGCGTTTGTCTATCCAAAAGGGGATTGGCAAGTTTCACCATTCTACCAGGTTTAAGTTGATCAAGTTCAGTGGCAGAAATCTGGGACTCTCACTACCAGCAAGGAAGAGGAAGTAGGGAGTGTAGGGTGTACAATGCACAGCCTACGGGCCAGAGATTCCTGTGCTTCTCAGACCGGGGCCTCCAGAAGAGCAGCCTCAGAGGAGAACAAGGGACTAGATGTGAGAGAGGGCTGATCTCAGACCATTAGCAATGGAGCCAGAGCAGAGGCCTTTGCCCAAGCTTGCTGGAGGACTTGAGGGAGAAAAGTCTTAATTAACAGGACTAACAGAGCTTTGTAACACTGGCGTAAAGTTTCAAGGTTGACATGGAAGGCCTGTGAGTATGCTTTAGAAGATGTCTTGACTGAGATATGTTGTCAACATGAATTATAACCTGTTAAATCCACTAATAAATACCATAATTGTAAGTATGGTTCTGCGAGGTCTGAGTAGCTATTGCAATAAATTTTGTACCAAGCACAGCAGAGGGCAAGGTGCTGGAATTCGTAGTAGAAGGAAGTAAGGGAGCGTGGGGGACATGTCTGATGTTGTGGAAATTGGTTTTGTGCTACAGATGTTCGTGATGAAGATGGTTCCCCTATCTGGAATCAGCAGAGGTCAGCTATGGCGGTTTCACAGTGCCTTTGCTCTTTTTACAGTTCATTTGCATATTTTACTTAGACAATTATACTATTAGTAAACAATAATCATTCCTCCTGCCTATCAAACAGGATTTATTGTTTTGTTCCTTTTTATATGCTCAGTCTCTAGAACATGTTGGCACTCAGCAGATGCTTGATGAATAATTGTTAAATTCAAGAAAATGAACAAAAGATGCTGGTTAAAATTTTAACAGCTATTATTCACACACACAAACACAATAAATATGGAGTGTTGTTTTAATAGTGCTAGGATTTTTTTTAAAAAAACAAAATAAAACATAGAATAATGAATTTTAATAGAGAAATAATAGGGGCATTATGGAGGACCCTCAACTAGGTGGATTGACATTGTGATTGCTGCAATGGGCTCTTGTGTGTCAGGAAGCGTGAGTATGCCACAGAATAGGGCAGAGTCCAGATCTTTTTGTTCATAGGGTCGCTATGAGTCGTACTCAACTTGAAGGCACCTAACAGCAACAACAATAACAACATCTCCTCTTAATACATGAGCTTAACACAATAATAAGAATAATTGCCAATGACATGCAATAAAGGTCCAACTGAAGGAGACAGGAACTCCAGAAAGATGTAAGAAGAGGGTTGATAATGAGTTTAGGTAACCAGGTTGGAAGACGTGACTAGGAAGAAGACACATGATAAATGACAACAGTGAGAAGTGAGATAGAACAGGATTCACCTAAGATCTAAAATATGTTACACTGCAGATAAAAAAAAATACTCACTTTTAAATAAAAGGCAGACAAAATGCGGGAGAAAATCTATCACACTTCATAAAACACACCCAAATGACAGCTAGGTTCAAACATTAACTGTAATTAAAATCTCCCTAAAGAGACTCCTTCCCAAGTACCACCATGCCCCCCACAACCCAAACAAATAGAAACAACAAGAGTATAATCTTATCAATCAGGTAGGGACATTTAAATAAATGGATGCTGAAAAAGATAACAGAATATGGTGAATGATCTGTTAAAACACAGAAACATATTTTTGAATGAAAAGTTACAAAACTACTGAAAAAGGACAGCACTAACTCGTTGCTGTCAACTCAAATTCCAACTCATAGAGATCCTATAAGGCAGAGTAGAACTGCTCCAGAAGGTTTCCAAGGCTATAAATCTTTACAGAAATAGACTGCCTCATCTTTTCCCCTTGTAGCTGTTGGTAGATTCCAACTGTGGACCTTTTGGTTAGGAGCCCACTCTTTAATCCATTGCTCCACAAGTTCTCGTAAAGAAAGCAATAGGATAGGGAACATCATAAAATGATGGCTCTAAAGCAGTTGAGCAGGTTTTAGGAATAGGTAAGATTAATACCCAGGAGGCCCTGGTGGTACATATAGTTTGTATTTGACTATTAACTGAAAGATTGGTAGTCCAAGCCCATTGAATGGCACCACAAAAGAGAGGCATAGTGATTTGCTTTAGTAAAGATTATAGCCAAGAAGACCTTATGGGGCTGTTCTACTTTGTAGAAGGCGATGGGCTAGTTTTGCCATTCCATCAGGTTGAAACTGAGTTGGAATTGACATGAACTGAAATTGACTCAACATATTAATACAAATGGGAGAAACTATATGGGGCTATGAAACTCAAGATGTGAACAAAAGTAGGACAAATTATTAATCTAATGTCAGCAGGGCTTTGGAGAAATGTGTACAACTATGCAGTACCACTGATACTATACATGGGATTTTTTTTTTCCTTAAATCTACTCTGTGTATATATTCAACCAAAATAGTTAAAATTAAAAACATAATCTGTCTAGGATGTTCACTAAATGATCACAGAAAGAAAGAAGGAAATTGAAGTGCCTTATAGCTGAGAGATTGTTAAGGGAAAAATGATACCTTAGTATCATTAATTCTAGTGACAGAGTAGTAAGGAGTTGTGTTGCCAATTCAAAGGCATGTGGTTTGACTCCACAAGCTAATCTGCAGGAGAGAGATGGAAATTATTCCATGCAAATTATTGCCTCTTAAAACTGGAGGGTCAACTATGGGTCAGGTCAGTTCTGACTCTATAGTATACAGCAACAACAAACAACAAGTGAACATTTAAAAGTAAAACACAAAGTGTCAAAAGAAAACATAAAATGCATGCATATACATATAATGGGGAAAATGTTTATAGAGGGAAAAAACTCAGAATGGTATATAACCCATAGGTATTTTTAGGAAATGGGATTTTCCTTTTTGAAAATGTTTAAGTTAACATGACAAAATAAATACAGAATTAAAACAAATAAACTACATACCAAAGCAGCGGGAAAATGTTTCTTTAAGCATATATAACCAATCCTTTTCATTATTATTATGCTGCTTACGAAGAAGACTACTATTAAAAACACACTGATTATTCCTCCTATATAGGCAGACTCTGACGACTCTGTTGATGAAACAGGAAATAACAGGATTTCAAAATAAACCCAGAAACCAAACACAGATGGGAATATAGGCACATTAATCTGACAGTGGCAGGTAACAATGAAAAGAAATTTTGAAAAACCAGTTTCACATAGTAAATATGGAAGAACTAGGAAACAATCTAAGTACAGGTATATTCTAAGATGATAACGTGACAGATTTTGTTAATTTTAGAAATTAATTTAAATTTGTAATTATGTTTTTATAAATGCACTGCCAAGTGTGGCAGCTACTAGTCACATGTGGAAATTTAATTTTGAATTTACAAGTATTATGTTAAACTCAGTATCTCAGTTATACGTGCCAAGTTTCAAATGCTTAATGACTATTTGTTGGTATGCACTGCAGGCCAGGAGAAGAAGAAAAAAGGGAGTCAGCCCGAAAAAAAAACACACCCCAAACAACTGGGTCATTGTGTGGCTGGGCTTTGCTAAGCCACGACTCAAGTCAACAGTAGAGAGCGCTCGCCTTGCCCTGCTGAAGTTCCCTTTCCTCTCCTGATCAAAACCTTTTTGGAAAATTTCAACTCTTTTTTCCTGTCAGTCCAACCAGACTTAGAAGAAATTGGTAGTTATGTAACTAAATCCAGTGTCAAGCCACATTGCTTGGCATCAAGCAGATTCTGATTTATGGTGAGCCCATGTATAACAGAACCATGTTCTAAAGGATTTTCAATGGATGGGTTTTTTGGGACGTAGACTGTCAGGCCTTTCTTCCAAGGCACCTCTGTGTGGATTTGACTCTTGAGCCTTTCCGCTAGCAACCATGTATGTGAACCATTTGCACACTTAGAGACTTCATTTAAAACGTAAACTTAGTTGACATCAAACTAATGCTGACTCGTGGCACCTCCACGTGTGTAGGAGTTGAACTGTGCGCCACAGGGCTTCCACAGCTGTTGCAGCCTTTCAGAAGTAGATTGCCAGGCCTTTTTTCTGAAGTGCCACTGAGTGTCGACTGTTTGCCTTTTGATTAGTGGTTAAACACTTAGCCATCTGCAATACTCAAGGGCTCCTTTGACTGTCTTGGGTGATGACAAAAGAATGGACTCTGAGATAATCTTTAAACCTTAAATCAAAACGTCACCTGGTCAGTTTTAAACCAACAGTTTAGCTCAATTAGTGAAAACTGTCTAAGCACTGTACTCTTTTAAAGAAAATTGACATGGGATCAGACTGACAACAGCACCTTGAAAGGTTAGAGACAACAGTATAGGGGACAGTGCATTTATGTACATGGGGAACAATTTGGAGAAGGAGGAGGAGGCTGGCAATACCTTTTGAAAAAGGTAAGCAATGTCACTGAATTATATATGCAGACATTGCTGAAGTGGCCTATGTTCTGCTTTGTGTATTTTCAACAACAACAATAAAAGAAGTAGATCACCATAGCTTTCTTCCAAGGCACTTTTGGTAGATTCAAAGTGGCTGTAGCTGAATGCCACACCCGGATTCTCCTTTATGTTCTAAGCACAGCTTAATGTTTCTTTTGTAATTTACAAATACGCCATATCACTTACAAGTCACTGCCTTGTACATGTCACTGTAGTAAATCAGAGGATTAAAGGAACTTTGATTGGGCCTGGGAGATTCAGAAGGGCTTCTTGGGGAAAGTTACATAGAGATTCACTTTTAGTTAAACTGTTCCTTCCTGTGAAACTAATCAGCAGTGGAAGCTCTCAAGCAGGCCTGACTGTTCTCACCGCAAATTTCTCCATGAGGCATACAGTGCAGACTCATGCTGTTTACTGTTAAAAGTTTTCAAAACAGAAGGGATTTCTGCCTTTATCAAGGACTATGTTGTCTATATTGGCAAGATTCCCTTTCATCCCTGAAAGACCACATCTTTATACACTGTAACCCAACCTCACTGTAGATGATATTTTACCCTCTCATGCCCTATACACAGTTAGTTGCTTTATAAGACCTTCATCCTGAAGTACTTGGTTTGGGCTAAGGACACACAAGGTTGTTCCTGGCTTGTATTTCACTACTAATCAAAAGGTAGGTAGTTTGATAACTTCAGGAATGCTACAGAAGAAACACCAGGATTTGTTTCTGTGAAAATTGCACAGTTCTATTCTGTAACTACTCTGTTCTACTCTGTAAGTGGAGTTGTCATGAGTCAAAATCGACTTGATAGCAATGTTGTTGTTATGTGCCATCAAGTTGCTTGTGAATCATAGTGACCCTATACACAACAGCTATGAACCTTTTCTGATACTTAGCCAATCTCACTGTCTCTGACACACCTTCCCTCAATACCCCAGATACTGTGTTAATACATCTCATCCAGGGTCTACCTCGCCTGTGCTGTCCCTTCACTCTTCCAAGCATGATGTCCTTCTCTAAGAACTTGTCTCTCCTGGCCACAAGCTTCAAAATCTTAACCTCCAAGGAGAGAGACATGGTTTCACCTTCTACAAGACAGACCTGTTTGTTCTTTTGGCGGTCCATAGTATGTACAATACTCTGCTCCAGCACCACAATTAAAAGGCATCAATTCTTCTTCTGTCATCCTTAGTGTCCAGCTCTTTGATTCAAATAAAGTAATTGCAAAATTACATTACATGGTCTGGATCAGGCACACTTTAGTCCCTAGATAGACATCACTACTCTTAAGCACTCTGGAGAGGAGCCTGGCATCAGACTTTCCCAATGCAAGTCGTCTTTTGATTTCCTGATTGCTGGTGCCAAGATTGTTGACTGTGGAACTAAACCAGCTTAAACTGTTAACAATCTCAATCTCTTCCCCATCTATCATGATCCTGCCAATTGGTCCAGTGGTGAGAATCTTTGTCTCTTGATGTTGAGCTTCAATCTGAAGACTACAGTCCTTGACTTTCTGCAGCAAACACCTCAGGTCCTTCTCAGTTTCAGCAAATAAGGTTGTGCCATCTGCATAATGCAGATTGCTGATGAGTCTTCCTCCAATCCTGATGCCATATTCCTCCTCATAAAGTCCAGCCTCACAAATGATAGCAATAGGTGGGGTTATTTTTGGAAGAAAATACATCACTGAAGTCCATTTGTTGTTGCTGAGTACTATAGAGTCAGAATCGACCCATAGCTGACCCTCCAGCAGGTTTTCAAAGGCTGTTGGGAGGAGAATGCCCACCCTTCCTTTCTGGAGCAGCTGTGGCCCGCAACTTCATGCTTTTGGGATTGCAGAGCATGTTCTTGCCACTAGGCCACCAGAGCACCTGGGCCCCTTGAAATAAAGGGAAGGTTTCTTGTTCCTCGCCTGTTATGACAACATACTCTTACATGACTCCACCACTGTGGAGGTTACAACAGAAAACACTGTCAGTGACATGCCTTTATTGGAAGACATACTTTTAGAGCTCTAGGACTTTCAGTATGAATTTCAGAAACAAACATACCTGATGGCTGGCCAGGAAGAAGGATGCACTTTAAAGGAGATCTTACTATTTTTCCTAGGTTCTGAAGCTCAAAATAAACAGACACACAGTGGTTGGTGTTTGGAATTAACTTCTCAATGACATAACTGAAACTTTCAGACATGTTTCCATTTATCTTGACCTCATGCTGTAAAAATAATAAGCACAAATCAGTAAGCTCTCTAGCAAGAATTGAATTGAGGAGCAGACTCTTACAGACTGAATTGCATGCCTCACCCCTCAAACGTTCTGGAACCCAAAATTTCCCAAATATTTGTTGGGGATGGCGCCTTTTGAGAGCAGGGTTTTCTTGTTATGTTAATGAGGCCATATCCAGGTTGGATGTATCCTAAACCCAACCCATTCTGGGTGATGTAATAGGGAGAATAGAAAGGGACAAGGGATCTCAAATGGCTGGAGGGAAGACACTGTCAGGAAACAGTCAAGGAACTGTCAAGGAGACAAAAAGCTTCCCCAGAGCTAACAGTCCCTCCCTAAACCCAATGCTCTCAGACTTCAGGCCTCCCTAAATGAATGAGCTCTCCTCTCTGCCTCCAATTTGCCTTATCCTGTATTCTTAAATTCTTTCTAATGACCAAGACATCTTTCATCAAGCTCACAACTTTCATATTGCTAAACCCAATAATCCAATCAAAGTCCTTTCCTACTGTGCCCCATTTGCAGCATTTGACATTTATCTCTCTCTTTCTGGAATTTTTTCTTGGAATTGGCTTCCAGGATTATCACTCACATCTCACTCTCCAATGCCAATTGCTCCTTCTGGCACTCTTTGGCGGTTCCTCCTTCACTTGTCATGGTAGTGTTTGGTTTACCGACTCACAATGACTCGTCTTACTGATCATTTTCTGGATCCCCAAATCATAGGGTGCCCTAGGGATCTTGGCACCTTTACTCCCTGGCAATCACACTTGGTCTCAAGACATTCAATTCACACCAAGAAACCAACACTCCTCAAAAGACTCCCCATGGACATTGATCTGACCAGCCAGAATTTCTGCCCTCAACCTTCAGTATCTCCTCTTAAATGCCTCACAGGCATCTCAAATTTAACAGGTCCAAAACAGAACTACTGATTTCCACCAACCCACCTGCCCAACCTAAGCTTATCCCTATTTAATTCATAGCAACTCCATTCATAAAGTGGTTTGTACTGCAAGTTTGAGGAGTCATAACGCTTCTTTCCCACCTCTGATCCATCTGGAAATATTGTGAGGTCTACTTGCAAAATATAATCTGACTATCCCCACTAGCACTTGGTAGAAGCCATAATCACCTTTCACCTGCATTATTACAGCATCAGCCTCCTCACTGGTCCCTCAACCTCCACCTTTAACCCCTGTGCTCTACTCTTAACATAACAGCCAGGATGACCTCTTAAAGCCTTAGGCCAGATGATGTTGCTCACTTACTTAAAGTTTTTAATTGTTTTCTACCACATTCCAAAGACTCTGGCCCAGACTGTCCATGAACCAACCCAAGACCTCTCTGAATCATCCTCCTTCCCGCTCAGCAGATCCACTTGGCCTCAGAGCCTTTAGACTTCCTGTGTTGTTGTTTTTTTCCCCTGAAACACAATTGCCCTATACATCCCATGGGCAGGTTGGTATATCTGCAAGCATTTTTCTAACTGGTAAAGGGCTACACAAACATAAGCAGCTAGCTGTTACACCTGGGTACACTGGTGCACGCCCACACCGCTCATTTCTATAGCTTCAGAAATGGAAAGAACAGATGGCTGAAGATCCAGGTTTCTCTGGCATTACGGTCACTCCAAAGGTAGCGTCTTTGTGGAAACCAAACCAAGCCCATTGCTGCAAAGTTGTTTCTGACTCATGGCAGTGTTTCAGCGCAGAATTGCTCTGCAGGCTTCTAGGCAGTGCTGGTGGCCTAGGCTGTGTGGACATGAGCTGCTAACCTCAGGGTGGCACTGCTCTGGCAATTTGAATATTTTCTCTGAGGGAGAAAGACGAACAGTCTCTTCCCTTGTGATTTAAATAAATAAAGCTTTGGAAAGCCCATGGAGGGTCAGCTATGAGTGGGTTCCAACTTGACAACAACACGGTCAACAAGGGTAGGGATTCTTGATTGTAAACTTTACAGAAACAGACTGCCTTATTTTTTTTTTCTTGTGGTGCCACTGCGTCAATGTTTAGGTTAGCAGCCTATCAACAACGATGCCAGCCAGGGACTGCATGGTGGAAACTAGGTGACATAGCCATGTGTGAGGCTTGGAGAGGCAGAGAGTAAGCCCTTTTCACATGCAGCTCAGTCAATTCATCCCCCAGAAGAAACTCTTTGAAATCTGGCTGCTCTCCCTGTCTACCTGACACTCGTCCCTTCTGCCTGCTCCCTGCTGTCATGTATGTGTGACTTATTCTTTATAAAGCCCACACTGTGAAGCTAAATCAATACATATCAGTAATGAAGATGGAGATTTTGTTCCTCAATTAAAACCACCCCAAAGTTCCAACCTTCCAGCTGTAGTTGTGCAACGACAAATTTCTTTTTAAAAAGGAGAGTCCAGGGTGTTCACTACCAGTTCAGAAACCAATACTATGTTTTGAACCCAATACTACGTTCTCACTTACCTTTTTCACAATTGCCTCTGACTTTTGCTCAATGGTGAGTGACAAATAACGCTGTACGTTTCCCACACTGATTTTTTCAGGAATGGGGAACGGAAATTTCATTGTCACATTAATGTGGTCTGTAAAGCCAAGAATCTCAAAGTCCGGTGGGTCCAAAGTCATTGCTTAGGAAACAAATTCAGAAATCAGAAATAAATCCCAAATATTAGTCAATGATGGTATAACCCTTATACACCTCCCTTTATCATGATACAGCCCACTTCTTTACAACTATTTTATTTTTAATCTATTGCTCTAGTAGTTGCACTTGTTTTCATTGTTACTACTCTTTTATTGGTGACGAGCTAGAAATGATACACATTACTTGTTTAGTATTAGCCCAAGACACTGTGATGAAGCCAGTAACTTTCCCAATTTTCAGTCTCTATTATAAGCGCAAAAAAGAAGGAAAAAAATCATATTTCCATATAATCATCATCACCATCATCATCATAATCACTACAGACATTTCAGAAAAATATAGGTGAGTGATTATTCCTGAATGTGGTTAATCATTTTTGGTGTTTTGTATGTAAATACACTGTTTTTGTGAGTTGCCATCAAGCCAGCAGCCAGTTCCTGGAGCTTGGATGCACCATGGAATGATATATTGTCTGATCGTGCCCACCCCTTGGCTGCTTACAGATTAGACTACTGTGTTCCATAAGCTTTTCACTGGGGAATGTCCCACTGACAGGTAATGGCTGCACATGAGCTGCTTTGGATGCAGCTCAAACTTCGGTGTTCTGCATGGAAAACCACTGAACTACCATTGACCTCTATAAATAAACACACACCCCAAAATATATTCATGTATATGCATGCATACATATATATGTAGTAAAAAGCTGGTTTCCAATCCCAAAGGCACACAGTCAGAATCCATCAGCTGCTCTGTCAGTGAAGGATGGGCAGTCTCCTCTCACATGATTAACAGCCTCTGAAAACCCACTGGAAGGTCAGTTATGGGTCAGTTCTGACTTGATGGCATACAACAGCAATACATGTAAACGTATACACCCATGTTGGAGCTCTGGTGGTATAGTCCAGAGCATAATGTACTCTTAACCAAAAGGCTGCATGACTCTGGCAGTTTGAACCTACCAGCTGTTTCTTGGGAGAAATATGTGCAGACTATTTCATTAAGATTGACAGTCTTGGAAACCTAATGAGGGTTATGAATTAGAAGTGACTAGATAGCACTGAGTTTGTATTATATATAGGTATCCCAATCATTCCCATACCTCATTTAATAATATTTTATAAACATGAATAATTATTTATTGATATCAGAAAGTGGCAAAACATGGCCTATAGATGAGATTTCTGCATAGCCTAGGAGCTAAGAATTTTGGAGGGGAATTTGATAAAAATATAAAGAATAATATGTGACAGAGACTAAATGTGGCCCATACCATCTGAAGAACTGCTTGTCTGCCCATTAATATCTGCTGGTCTCTTGACTACATTAGCACTTTTTATGGCTGATTCTATCCCACTATGTGGCTATACTACAATTTAGTTTGTTGTTTAGAACAGTTAGATGGTCCCTAATTTTCCTGAATAACATACGCATGTTAACGAATAAATCCTTTGAGTTTTTAAATTCATCCTTAATTATTTCTCTAGAACAGGTTATTAAAGATAAATTAGAGTACCAGATGTTAATGTTTTTAATCCTACTAAGATTTTAGAGTGTCCTACTAGATCCAGGTCTTGATATGCATCAGAGAGCTGGATAATGACTGAGGATGACTGAAGAAGAATTGGTGCTTTTGAGCTGTGGTGCTGGAGAAGAGTATTGAATATACTATGAACTTCTAAGAGAACAACCAGGTCTGTCCTGGAGAAGGTGAAACCACGCTGCTCCTTGGAAGCAAGGACTGTGAAGATTCATCTCACATACTTTGCGCATGTTGCCAGGAGGGACCAGTCTATAGAGAAGGACACCATGGTAAAGGGACAGTGCAAGAGAAGAAGACCCTGGATGAGATGGATTGACTCAGTGATTGGGGTATGGGGGTAGACGTGTCAGAGACAATGAAACTGGCTCAAGATAGAGCGGAGTTCAGAGCTGGGGCTGCAATGAGTTGTAGGTGACTCGAGGGCACATAACAACAGCCACCAGATCACACTCTCTATATTGCCTCTTTATCTGATTATTGATGAATGTGTAACATTTTTCATTTTGATGGATAAAAATTGCTATCTGAGTTCCATTTTGTTATGCTTTCTTTCATGGCCTGAATAGTATGATCTTGAAACTGTGCTATTCTTTACTATACAAGTACACAGAGACCACCAATGTCAGCTCTCTCTCTCTCTCTCTCTCACACACACACACACTCTCTCTCTCTCTCTTCCAGAAAATCTCCAAAGCATCCCACAACGGTGGTTCAATGACATTTTGCTAAGCACATATATAGGGGCATCCACTCACATCCTCTATAACAGGGAGATGCAAATCAGTTTGTCCTTGGAAACAGGATATAAATCAGGAAGTTGAGAAAACATTAGAACCTGGCTGAAGGATGCTAAAAATTGGCTTGAAGCTGTGTTGTAAGGGGAAAACATACCAGAGCAAATGCAAAAATTTTTAAAAGTAGTTATTCGGCACACTATGTAAGAAGGAAAACACACACAGAAAGGATGCAGTGACATTCTACCCGAATTAGGTTCTCTGTATTTTTTTGGTAAATATACATGGTATAGAGTTCATATGGAGCTGTGCTGCTAACCTTAAAATAACCCTCTTTGGGGGTTCAAAACTGCCAGCGGCTCTGAGGAAGAAAAGTCGTCTTCTCCTATGTGATTGCAGCCTCCACAAGCCCACTGAAAAGTCAGCTGGAGAGTATGGCAATGAATTGAATGTTGAGTTTGCTTTGCTTTGGACCCTGACTGCCCGGTGTAGATCTTTGTTCTACGCTACTTTAGTCTGGGCTATGGGATGGGGATGGAGTTGCAGTATTAATGGAACAATGGTCAAAGAGTGTGACAGGTCACAGAGGCCACCTGAACCTCATTCCTGTTCAGGTTGTGAAATGAACAGTAAAACAGAAGTGACTACTTACTGAACCTTTGCCTCAGATGGCATTTTTGTAATCTCTTGCAGAGAAGAGATTAGGATTTTAATTTTCAAATAAGAAAACTGAAGCTCAGAGAGGTAAAGTAACTTGCCCCTGTTACACAGCTAGTAAGTGCCAAGCCAGGCGGTGAACCTCAATTTGAGTTTGAGACCCTTCTGCAGACCTTCCTATCTCATGGCAGAGAGGATCATTTCCTTCAGAAGGAGGAGGATGAAAAAAAGACAAGAAACACAGATTAACTCACTGTTCATGGCCAAGAAGAAACTGCCCATGCAGCTGAGCAGAGCAGAGTTCCCTCTGAACGCCACGACTTTGGGGACATAGGTCTCACCAGTGCTGGTCCACAAATTCGTCAGGTTGCAAAACGGTCTTGTGATATTTGTGCAGTCCTCAACAACCTTCATGTCTTCCTTTTTACTTTGAAAGGAAAAGGCATGAAAAAGGCTATCTTTAGCAATCATGCAATGAGAATCACCATGACATGTCTGACTCATTTCATGTCCTTTCAGACTCTGCTCAGATAGATATTCACTGTATCCAATCATCTTTCCTGAGGCATTTTATGGAAAACAACACATACATATTTCCATTTACTCTTACTTCCTTTCCTCCCCAAGGCAAGGACTTCCTTGTTCATGGCTGGAAATCAGGCATGTAGCAGGTGTAATTCATTCCTGGGTGAAATGAATCAACCTTGTGTCTAATGAAGTGGCCTCAGGTCTCCTGGTTCCTGCAGGACAATCACGGATGTATTTTCTAAGACCCCTACTTCCTGGCAAAAGACCAAACCAGCCAGGCTGATTTGGGGAATAACACAGACGTCTGATCTTCTGAGTCCCAGGATATGTGTGGCAGCAAAATGAAAAGGGAAAAAAAAAAAGTAAAGCTTTTGCAGACATCAAAGAGAAACTTGGAAATCCGAAGTGTGTGTACATTTTCATTGAAATTAATAATATATTTTTAAAAAAGGAAAAAAAGAGAAACTTACACACACACACCCACACACCCCTGCCATTACAACTGTTCGAAGACAAATAAGTGAGCAACAAAGAGTCACCAGTTCAAAGCAGCAGCTTGTGAGGGTCAGACATGAGAGAGAGCCAAAGAAAGCTCTCTGTCCATTGTGTCGTGAACCCTGTGGCACTTTGAAGGAGGGATATTGTTCCAGAGGCATTGAGCTCTGCGTCCAAGTGTCACAGGTGGTGGCAGCTATGTCAGACTTTGAATCCAGGCCTGTCTAAGTCTCAGCCAGGTAGCCTCCTAGTGTGCCTGGGGTCTCCCCAGGTAAAGAGCAACATAAACCACCAATAGGATTCTCAGACCTTTGGACCCCTGACCTCAGGAATGCAGGACATTTTTTTGTTGTTGTTATTTTTAAAAATTTTTTTTATTTTTAATTTTTTTAATGTAGGACTTTTAAATGTTTACACTCACAAAAGCAGAGAAATAATTACGAAACTGGAAAAACAAGTATTTTGTTTGTAGGGCATTCGATCTGTAGAAACTGCCTTTATGTACATTTTGTCAAAATCAGCTTTGGATTATTAAAAGCATTCAATTTATTTTAAAATGGCTGGGTGTTTTGTCTTTGACTATCTAGGTCTCTGATTTTTCCCCCCTCTCCCTTTTAAACAAACAGAAAAGAAAGAAAAAATAAATACAGCTGTGAAGAAAAACCGTTGCTGTCCAGTCAGAACTGATCCATAGTTGACTCCAGGAGGTTTGCAAGGGTATAAATCCCACGGGAGGGGACTGCCCATCTGTCTCCCTTGGAACAGCTGGTGGATTCAAATCACCAGAGAGTTACAGCCTTTGGTTAGAAGCACAAATCCCTATGGACTAGGTCACCAGAGCTCCCTTAATCTAGTTCTAGAATAAGTAAATATTTCTTTCCCCACTTCCCACACAACAGAAGAGACTGCCGAGTAAAAAAATGAAACGTGAAACCAACCTCATGACTGTGTACCATAATGAATAGTGAGTTGGTACAATCGAATGGTTTTTAAATTCCCATGACAAGACTGACTGGAAATTTCGCTGCGTCATTCTGAAAATACAAGGCTCGCGTGCTAAATCTAAAGTGAACATAAAGAAAATAAACACAAATTAATTGAAACCTCAGGTTATTTTGGGACACTGTTTAAGTGTATGTTGGGACCTGGGGCCCACCAAAGAGTCTGGAAGCCTGGAAACACAGGAAGAAAACAATTAAGGGAACTGAATAAGAATAGCTAATGAGAAACATATTATCTGTGAAGATCATCTTAAGAAGCTGGAGATTGGCATGTAATAAACAGAGTCTGGATGGAGGGACAATGATCTTTGCCTCTCAGTGGAACATCTGCCCAAAATAAGTCAGTCTCAGATACATGGAGTTATTCTCTGTCCTCTAGCTGCCTCTCATTTTTTTTCCAACTCAATTCCCAAATCTTCCATCAAGTCCTCCTTTAGCAGCTCAGTTCATGCAAATTTGCCTTCTTCTGAATCCCTCACTACAGAAGGGACTCTCCCAAGCCCCCTGCTACTCAGTGGATTTCCACTCACATTGAGCTTGTGGGACAGAGAAAAATGGCCTGGAGCATTTCTAAGGTTTTAATCATTAAGGAAGTAGACTGCCTCATTTTTCCACTCAGAGTGCCCAAGGGGCTTGAACCACTGATCTTTTGGCAAGCAGCAGAACTCTTTAACCTCTATGCCTGCTCTACAGAAAGTGCTATCACTGAGTGGCTTCTTGAGACTGTAAATCTTTGCAGAAGAAAACTGTCCATCTTTTCCCTTGCAGAGGGGCTGGAAGATTTGAACTGCCCATTTTTCAATTAGCAGTCCAATATATTACACACCAGAGCAGGAAGAGAGGACGTATATAATGTGGGCCTTTTGGCTGGTAGCTGTTATTGTGTACATCTAGTTGGATCTGACCCACAGACCTCCGGCAGGTTTTAGAGGCAGTTAATCGCATGGGAGGAGATTGTCCATTCTTCTCCTGTGGAGCAGCTGGTGGACTCAGACTGTGTGCCTGTGGGATTGCAGTGCAGCTTCTTGCCCCTAAGCCACCAGAGCTAGACCTACACTTTCTAGGTTTTTAATCCTCACTATATGCCAAAGTAGGTACTATAACAGACCCATTTCACAGACTGAAAGGGAATTATGCAGTGTTATGCAGCTATGAATGTTGTTGTTAAGTGCTGTTGAGTTGTAGACAACTCATAGCGACTTGCGTGACTTTTATCCTCTCTCCAGATTCATAGGGTTTCCGGAGGCAAGCTATTTATGGAAGTGGATGCCACTCCTGCTTCCAAGCTTGTTTTAATAGGGGAGCTCCACCAAACACTGTCCACCATGCAGCTATGAATAGGCAGAGTCAAAACAGACTCTAAAATCACACTTAAAATCCTGCCTTACGTGGCTAGGTTTCTAACATCATCTAAGTTTCCTGTGGTTAGGATCTGAAGGACCTTTGCTTCACGGCTCCCAATTTATTTCCTAGGTCCCTCAAGTGTTCAACACACTAAATTAAAATATGGCTTCTAAATCTTTTTGTTTTGCTTATCTATGTCTCCACATTCCTCTGGGAGTAAGAATACTCAGTTCAATACTCTTTTAAGGGTTCTTAAATTAATTCGTGTATTAATTTCTCACAATTATATGAGGCATAAGTGAAAATCACAGCTGGCTAATTTGAGTTCCTTTTACTAGAAAAAACTTTTTGAGAAAAAGGATTCTAATAAAATAGGCAACAGATTTGAGATGAGAGGTCAGGTCCCCCATATTCTTCTGGGATACACTCTGGATGGGTGCCCTGACACTCCGATACTTAAACAAAATTAAAATGGAGAAAACGGCTTACCACGAAAACTGTATGATGTACCAATCACGAGGCCAATGTACACTGGGAAGAGGAAACACACGTCAGAAACATGACACAGCTTTTTCTGGACTCAGCCTCGAAATGCTGTTCTAAGTCTGGGATCATGTTACACACACACATACACTAACAATGGGTTGAGGTTTCTTGCACTAAAATAATGTTCAATAAAGTCTCCCTAGGGGTCATCCTGGCTACCAGCGGCCGAGGAGTGTGTTCCTGAGTGAACGCCAGTCAGGACCCATTTGGGAGCTAGCATTAACAATAGGGGTTAGGGTAGTTGAAAGGCTACTGAAAACTTCTCAGAATATGAATAAGTATGCATATAATTAACAGACATTAAACAAAGGCCAGCATTTGCCTGCCAGTTTCCTTTTGCTTTTGTGGATTGTGTATTGCCACGATTCAGGAAGCTACAGGCCAGCAGAGTCATTCCTGACAGACAGGTTTCAGCAAAATGTCCAGAGTCAGAAAGACTGAGAAGAAAGGCTTAGTGATCGACTTCTTCTGAAAATTAGTTACTGAAACTCCTATGAATCACAACAGAACTCTGCTTGATATAGTGCTGGAAGATGAGCTTCATAGATTGGAAAAGGCACTCAAGATACACAGAGTGTAACAGTGGCCTTGAGCACACCAGCGATCACGAAGTTAGTGCTAGGCTGGACAACTGCAAGCGTTCTAGGCAATGTTTGTTCTGTGTTCCTGGGGCGGCCATGAGTCAGAGCTGAGTCGATGACAACTAACAGAAACAGAGGATAAAGAGATTTACCAGTGGCAATGGAGGGGCAATAGGGAGTGTGGTAATGGGATTTGGTGGTGGTCAACCATTGGTATGGGTGGACATTATGGAGATCACAGTGACATGGGAGGGGGCTCAGTAGGCACAGAGCAAGGGAAGTGTAACATCATGGAGAACTGTCCCACCCAGTGTATACATAAGTTCCCTACTGCCAAAGCACAGCAGATAATGCAGTGATGCAGAAATATAATTAGGTTAAAAAAAAGGCATGGGTAAAAGGACTATTTTTAAAAAGGAAAGGATATTAAAAGTTCAAATCAAAGGCCAGAACAGACTTTCCAGGTTAGCTGATGTGGGAGGGAGGAGATAAGAGATTGGTCATTTGTCCAAATAAAGGTGTAGGGAAATACACTCCATTTTAGATTATAATAAAGGTATTAAGAGAAATCACTCTTCAAATTATACATTAGTAGTAATACTGCTAGGAGAACAAACAGGTTTGTCCTAGAGAAGGTGAAGCCGGAATGCTCCTTGGAGTCAAGGATTCTGAAGCTTCGTCTGACATACTTTGGGGATGTTGCAAGGAGGGACTGGTCCTTGGAGAGGGACATCATGTTTGGCAAAGTGGAGAGACAGCGAAAGAGAGGAAGACCCTCGATGAGATGCATCGATTCTGTGACTGGAGTGGTGGGAATGAGTGTGCTGGAGACAGCGAGGTTGGCACAGGATAGAACGGTGTTTAGAGCTCTTGTACATAGGGTCACTATGAGTCGCAAGTGACTCGATGGCACATAACAACAACAGCAAGTAGTAATGAAAATAGTAATAACTATAAGATGATCCTCAACCAGGACAGGATAGGGTTCAGATCTATTGTTCATAGGATTGCAATAGGTAATGCTTGAGTCAATGGCATCTTTTAACACCAACAATAAGCTATGATTCCAATCATGACTAAGCTGTCTGGTATCCCGATTTGTTTTTCTGAAATTTACAAAGGAGCAGAAACCTGTACTGAATTTAAACCATTAGAAGGGGCTTTCTATTAACTTTCTGTTTGAATCTTGACAGGGCGGACATGGTCCTTCAGTCAGGGACATCAGTCTGTGGTCCCCTCGACACAAAAGTAGCACTTACCCCAGGGATGCAAATTAAGAGGCATTCTGGCCTAAAAGCATCTTCATTACTTTAAAAAAATTCTTGTTCCATTTACAGTAACATCTGAAAAGACATCAATCAAGAAAATGAAGAGAGAGATGCAAATCAAACAAATATATCATCTTACCCTAATAAGAATAGCAAAATTCAACAAAGCAGCAAACAACAAATGCTGGCAAGGTTGTGGAGGAACTGGAACCCTTATTCACTGCTGGTGGGAGTGTAAAATGGTGCAACCACCATGGAAGGCAGTATGGCGCTTTATCAAAAAGCTGGAAGTAGAAATATCATCGGACCCAGCAATTCCACTACAGGGAATATACCCCAAAGAGACCATAACTGCCACCCAAACAGATATATGCACACCCATGTTTACTGCTGCTTTGTTCACAAGAGCAAAGATTTGGAAACAACCCAAGTACCCATCAAGAAACAAATGGATAGAGAAGCTGTGGTATATTCACACAATGGAATACTATGTTGCATTGAAAAACAAAGAACTCACGAAATATACAAAATGGTTGATCCTGGAGGACATTATGCTGAGTGAAATATCTCGGTCACAATAGGACAAATACTGCATAGTGCCACTGTTGTAAAGTGGGTCTGACATCGGGGTTGGGGGAACCTAAGAAAAGAGGGGATAAAGAATGTATACTACATTGAAACAGATGAGGGAGAGAACTGTTTAAAAGGAATATAGGATTAGGTACTATTTTAATGACAAGATTACAGAAAAAGAAATGCATAGTAAAGTGGACTGTGGACTTGGGAGGGAATTGCATCTCAAAGAATAGAATTTGTTTTTCCTTTTCAATGAGAAAAACGAACTGGGAGGGAGGGATGGCCAGGGAGGAATATATGCAAAAATGAATGAATGGGAAAAATTAAATGGAAATAATATGCTGTAAAAATATATATGTTGCCTTAAAATAATAAAAAATGAAATAAAAAAAGAAAATGAAGATAATTAAATTTTAAAATGCCTAAAGGCATTTGAATAAATTATAAAGACTTTAAAAAAGGGTAGTCAAAGACCAGTAGGAAACAATAAAATTAAATAAGCAACTTCCTCTCACCTTCGGGAACCAATCACTTAGTCACCTTACTTAGTTATGGTGTAATTTTTAAAATTAATGTTTTGAACAGCTAATATATTAACTTAGCTCAAAAATTAGAAACATTAAAAAAATTCCATAGTGGAAAGTTTTGCTCTAAAGATAAAGAGAACATTCTCTAAAAAAGAATACAACATTTTTTTTGCTTGTGTGAATCCTTCAGAACATATTTACTCGTAATGCCAGCTCAAGGTACGTGGTTTGAATTCACCAGCTCCATGGGAGAGAAAGATGAGCCATCTCCCCCAGTGTGATTTACAGCTTCTGAAAACCACTGGAGGGTCAGCTATTGGTTAGTTCTGGTTCGATGATCAGAACAACAACAATGTCAATTTGCTTTCCTTGTTTTCTGAGTGTGATCAAGTATCTTTTCACATATTTAAGAGGCTTTTGTATTCTGTTTCCTGTTTACAGTTTAGTTGGCTCATTTTTATTATTTGTCACTTTCTAAACAGGAAGGGAACTTTCATTTTATCTATGATAGAATCTCATTCTTGATTCTTGTCACTTGCCTCTCCACGTGCTTATGGAACTTTTTTGTTATTGTTTATTTGTTAATGCGTTAAAGTTTCTAAGTAATTTCAGTTCATTTCTTTCTTGGCTTCTGAATTTTGAGACATAGTTTGAAAGTCTCCTCTTCTAGGTAAGAAAGAAATTCTTCTTTTAAGGAGTCCCCATGGACCCTCTTGAAACATCTGTCAATACATTTATGTGGAATGGGATGTCTTCCCCCTTCATGACTCCATGGCAGTGGGGTTGCATGGTTGGGAGACTTCTCCTAAATACTGGGTGTACTTCGACTACAATGCCACATTGGACAGATTCCCTTATACTTAAGCGCCTGCCCTGTGATAGAGGAACATCTGTCCCTTTGCTCTGCATCTGCATTAGCACATGGTCCCTCCAGTGCACACTAATACAAGCACATGCACTTCCATTACAAGTTCAGCTCTCTGCATCGTAGTCAGAATACTGCATCTCCTCTTGCTTTGCTCCTGCTGCCCTATCCCCTACTTCCAACCAGAAGCCCGACAACTGGATTCTTGTTCACTTACTAAAAACCAAAAGCAAAATAAAACCCAAGTCCCTTTTGCCCTTGAGTCAATAGTGACTTAAGAAAGCCAAGCTTGTTTTTTTTTATTATTATTAAATTTTATTAGTTTTAATGAACATTTACAGGGATTTGGGGTTTTCATTCATTGTTGCACTTTTTTCTCCACCCTCCACCCCAGTTTGTTCTTCTTCCCCCGCCATCCGAATGTCTGTTTTAATTGTCCAATTGCCACAGTGCTTGTCAAAGTCAGTTCTGATTAATCTCCTTCGTCAGTGTGTCCCTTGCCATTCCCTATCACTCCTCCCTGAGAGAGACTTCACCCTGATTCATAAGGAAAAGGGGATGGCGTATTCTCTTAGCTACTTCCTGCTGAAAAGGGATGCTGTGGGTTTCAGGGTGAAGATCTTCTCTCACTACTCTAAAGGGCCCCTTTGGCAGTAGGAAACACATAGACTATTATGGAGATTGATTTTGGAATTTAGATGCACTATTGTTAATTGTGCTTAGCCATACGTGTTCATATCCTTGAAGATGTATCATGGGGGGGTTGCAACCTAGAAGACACAAATTTAACTAACAAGTTATAAGTACATGAGTCAAAAATTATGGAAAAGTAAAAGAAAAGATTCTTTCATTGTTTTACAAACCCTCCCCCAGGTCCCCTCCACCATGGAGCCATCGCTCTAGACTCCTGTGATGACAGAAATACCTCATCACATATCTCTTTTAAACAGTTTTCTCCCTCCTCTGTTTCAGTGCAATATACATTATTGAACCCATCTTACTCAGTCTCTCCCCAACCCCGAGGTCAGTCCCATTCTACAACAGTGGCATCATGTAATATTTGTCCTTTTGTGACTGGGATATTTCACTCAGCATAATGTTCTCCAGAGTCAACCATTTTGAATAATATTGCATGAGTTCCTTGTTTTTCAATGCAGCATAGTATTCCATTGTGCGAATATACCACAGCTTCTCTAGCCATTCGTTTGTTGATGGGCACTTAGGTTGTTTCCAAATCCTTTCTGCCTGGCATTGTTCATGAAATTCCTTAAAACTCAGGAAGCATAAACAGATCAAACCTTCAGAGGGATCACTTGCGCATTCACTGCCATTGAGTTGGAACCAACCTGAAGCTGACCGTCCAGTGGATTTTCTGAGGCTGTAAACTGCATAGGAGGAGATCGTCCATCTTTCTTCCATGGATAGAATAGTGGATTTGAACAGCCAGAGAGGCACTGCTTTGGATTAGTGGTGTAACTCCTGACAGACTCCACTACTAGAGTTCCCTTCCTGAAGCACAGCCTTTGTGGATTCTCACTTCTGTCACTGAGGTTGGTTAGGCGAGTTTATTAGCCATGTAGGCATACAGAGGTCTGTACACAGAACATTGCCAAGCTTTTTTAAAGGCTCTCCGAACACCATCTTGAAATTCTTTGCATTTTTCTTAATGAGTTCTGCTGGAAAATACACCAAGTGTTGGGGACTTGGATCTCAGTTCACCTGGAATCTCACACCTTCCCCTGTTTATCCAGAATGGATTCTCAGTAGTATGCTCCCCTGGACCACCGAGTATCCCTGGTGACACGTTACACAGGGGACTGATGGAGGAGTTGTAGGATGGGAGTGCAGGGTCCCATGTTTTACTGCTGTCCTCCTGAGTGAGGATGCATGGAAGGCATTCTAGAACACTCTCTCAGTTCAGGTAAATAACATGTCCTTGTGCAGAGGTTTCAAAACCCTTGGGTACTGCTGGGAGCTTGGGTGTTGACAGTGGTCTGTGATAGGCTACAAACCTAAAGGCTGTTGGTCCTCACACTGTGGAAGAAAAAGGTCTAGCGGTGTGTTTCTATAAAGATCACAGCTAAGCAAGATAGATTGAACGATCTGATCAGACACTGTATTGTAATTCATGTTACAGGACAAAAGTGCACTAATGTTTGACAAACCAATATGCTTCGCAAACCCATATAACAATATTTAAAAAGCAAGGATGGGGAGAGGTCATCTCACACACTTTGAACATAGTATTAGGAGGGAACAGTCCCTAGAAGGACATCGTGCTTAGCAGAGGGTCTGCCAGAAGAGAGGAAGACCCTCTGCAAGATTGGGGGGAAATCACATAAAAGAAGTGCCCATAAAACAGTTCTGCTCTGTAACATGTGGGATTGTCCCAAGTTGTAATCAACCTGCTAGTAGCAGGTTTCAGGTTTGGGGCCCTATCAGTCTGTCCTGAGTATGGATGGCAGACTCCTGGGGACCCATGATACCTGGCTCAGTGTTCCCACACCTGTCCTGGCTGGGTGTGGTGCATCTGTCAGTTCTGCTGTTAGCAGGAACCTGACACTTCACAGACCTACATACTCTGGTCTCGAGCCTCCAGGGCAGAGGGGCTTGTGGGAACCTGGGAGGAGCTGCATTTGCTCCCCACCCACACACCATCCAGGATCCCTGTGTCTGGGAGACCCTGTCTTCCTCCTTCTGACCTTTCAGTTTCTGGCTGAGTTTACCTCTTTTGTCTAGTTTGAAGAACCGTCCTCGAACGACCTACAAAATACGAATTATGTAATTTGTGATTCGATGTTTTTGCACGAGATGAATGTTCCTGTCTTTCCATTTATAGATATCTTTGTACATTATTTGAAAAGAAAAAAAAAAGATCTAGAAGCACTGATGGGGTAGTCTGCAGAGCGGTACTGAAAATCAGCATGCCCATCATTGTGTGAGAGAACGATGGGCAATCTTCTCTCGCGTGATTTGCAGCCTCTGAAAACCCACTGGAGGGCCAGCTATGAGTTGGTTCCAAATCGACAAAAATAAGCTTGAGTTGATTTTATTTTTTATAAGT